GGAAGGAAGGAAGGAAGGAAGGAAGGAAGGAAGGAAGGAAGGAAGGAAGGAAGGAAGGTAACCTGTAGCTAGTCCAGGTTAGAATAAAATACATAGCAAAACACAGGTAATCTCCAGTTGTCCCATCTAACAGCTCAAACTACTTGATTTTCCAGACCAGCATTTTCATCCTGGATTCCCTCCAACAATTTTGACATATTCTTTTTATCAATCAAAACTTCCTGCAGTTTAATAATCAGGAATCATAATTCCTCCAATCTGTTTGCAGGACATGGGGGCAAAAAGCTACACTACAGGCAGTTTTTATCTTAGCTATCAAAGGATCACTCTTCTGAAAGCACTCAGAGTGCAGCCATTGAAGCTGGAAGCAGCAGCAAAGTTTGTTTGTAGCAGAAGCATTTTTTCCATCATTTATTGTACTAAACGTCCGTGAGAAGGGGCTAAAATGCAGAGGCATCTCTAGAGGGGTCAAAAACATCAAGATGACAGGAATGACTGCATAATCAAAGCCCATCCCCTTTTTCTGTGCATCACCTGCATCTTTTTCCTTCTCCCATTCCTGCACAGAATAGTAGCAGTGAGAAAACCAGGAGCCAGTAAATTAGAGCTTTGGGGGAGGTTAATTCACTCCACTATCTTAATCTATTGATTTCAAATTATTTTGCAAGTGAGGATTGGCAATGTCCCAGAAAGCAATCAATTACTACTGCTATCATACTATCAGAATGGGTGAGAGGGAAAGAAAAATTGCACCTAACCAGGTTTTATTAATTTATTTATATAATTTTAGAGGCATATTATGTATTTAACTGAATTTACTTAGCTTAAGAACTGGTCCTTCCCCATTTTGTGAATAGCCCCACAGCTGCGTTGGGCATTTTGTGAATGGCTCTGCCCCTCATAACACTCTCCTTCCTTGTTCAAATTCCAAAGTCTATCTTATTCAGCATTACTGCTTATACGGACAAGTTATTTAATAAAGTATCATTTCCATACCTTTTCACGAAGTAGTGTCAGCCCCACAAGGTAAACCAATGCCAGGTAGGTCAGGACTACTTTCATTCTAACAGCTATAGCAACAGGATCTTGCAAGTCTGAATGGGCTTCCTCCTCCCTCCCTTTATTTTCATGTGAACTAGGGAGGGGCTTGTCTGAGATGTTTTCTCAAGTTACCTTCTTGGCCCTGGCTCAAACCCCTCTTATCTGACCATTGCCTTGGTAGCAGCTCTTCCTCCTGTCATTCAAGGCCATTCCCTCTTCCTCTACAAGGAGCGAATTTGTACATCCTTCTTTTAAATAGAAGGTCTTTGATTACTCCCCCAACTGCAGCGGCTATTTCTGGTTTCTGCGCCACCATCCCCAAAGCTGTGGACCATCCCACTTACCTGGGAATGTGACCTGCCAGACATGGACAGGACTGACAAAGCAGGCTATGGAGAGCAGGGCGTAGGCTAGGAATTTCTGGAAAGCCCCGCGATGTTTGGCTCGGGCCCAACAAGTGTGCATCATGGATCCCATCCTGGGGCTGCAATAAGAGAGAGGGCTGAAGCTCCATAGGTTTGCCTCCATGCTATTCTGCCTCAGCAAAAATATTATACATTTTCAAGGCTGGGAGAGGCCAAATGGAGAAGGTGGTCCATTTCCACAAAAGGTTCATTTGAGTGTGTCTCCTCCCTACTGTCTCCTCACTTGTCCCACCAATTCTTTCTCTGCCTTTTGTCCACTGACGTCACACCCTGATACACCACTGCATTTGTGGAAACCTGAAATATTGAAATAACTCCTATCCTTACATTGAACTGCCTTGAATGAATAATATGGATCTATCTGGTCATTTCAAATACTCAGTTACACTTGGTGTGGCCTGAGCAAAGGCTTCCCTTTTAAAAAGGCCCTGAACTTAATTGGAAAGTGCTTTCTGGCAAAATGGGGATAGGAGTGAAACTCACATGAAGCAGGTAACCAAAAGGAGGCTGGCAAAGTACACTACTTCCCACAGAAAGACCGCCATCCCTGAAATACTAAAGCATGGAGATCCATTAAATGAGACGAACTGGGTAATCGAAAGCAATCCTCGTCAAACAGCCAGACCAACTGGGAAGGGTGCCTCAGCTTCTGTAGAATATCTGTCATCCTGGTTGCACTTTCAAGCTCTGTGAAGGCAAAAGACAAGACGATGCGACAGAGTTCCTGGGCAGAGGACTTATAGCTTACAGTCTCTGCTGGCTTACTAGGAGAAAAGCTGAGCAGAAATCAGGTGTTAGAAAATAAGTAGAGGGGTAGAGTTGGATGATACCAAGAACAGGCAAGGAGAAGCAGCTATGATACATACAAGGTTTTGCTAGGCAAGGCAGGAAATTGGATGGATGGACAGATGGACAGGAGGAATCCATTATGATACATCAGGACAAAGAATCGTAAGGACAAGCAGGAAGCCGAGGGAATACACTACAGGTAGTCTTTGCTTGACAACGGTAATGGGGACCGGAATTTCCGTCACTAAGCACTGTGGTCGTACAGTGCGGCATCACATGACTGCATCACTTTGCGACAGCAATCCCAGCATTCCCTGTTGCCATTGTTAAGCGAGTCCCAGGCAGATCACAAGAAGGCCAGAAAACAAGTAAGTGGCTGTTGCCAGGTGGGGGAGGATGTATGGGTGGCTGGCAAGGCTTGAGTGCAGTGGGTCTGGGGTGGCTGCCAGGTGGGGGAGGGTGCGAGTGACTTACCAAAGCGACTCGTGACCTTCCAGGCCGGCTTCCCGGTTGACTTTGCTTGTGGGAAGCCAGCAGGGAAAGTCACAAATGGCAATCCCATGACTGTCGGACACTGCAACTGTCGCAAGCAAGCCAGTTGCCAAGCACCCAGCTCACAGTCACATGACTGCAGGGATGCTGGGATGGCCGGAACTTTGAGGACCAGTCATAAGTACCACTCATTCAGCACGGTTGTAATTTTGAAAGTTTGCTGAACAAGTGGTCGCTAAGCGAGGACTACCTGTAGTCTTCAGACCATAGAGAGGAAGATGATTAAGACTTATTCCTGCTCCTGTGTTACATGACATTAACAATTGCTGCTCCTTCTCAGGATAAATATAGGAGAGAGAAAGAGAGAGATGTTCTTCCTTCTTCCCATTAATCTAGGATTACTTTTAAGGTCTGGATAATATCACATCCCAAAATTGTAAAATGTGCTTCCTCATTAAATGTACAAATGGATTCCCACAGCAATTTTGGGATGGGGTCTAATGTAGTATGATTAATATAACTACTTTGGGGGTGGGGGTTAATGCACTGTGTCTGACATGTATATTTCAACATTTAATCATTCTTTGAAGCCATGGTGAGTTATATTCTCAACAACCGAAATACATCTCATGGTTCATCAGCACCCTAAAAAAACACATCAAAATAGTCATAAACATCTGAGTTGCCATCTCAAAATAGTAAATGGAGTGTGAAATCCAGCATGGCTTTCAGAAAATCACCACTCCAGAAAGAGTAAAGGCCAGACTAACGTGATATTACTCAAACCTTTTGAAAGAGTGTGTTTGAGCTGGCTAGTTTTACTCTATAGACAAAGCAACTAAAAGAAACTGATCCAGAATGATACTCAATCTTAATGGGGATTCTGCAGCAAACCCACACATCCATGGTTGCCATCAAATCTGATGTTTGCAGTAAACAGCAACTAGGGCCAGGAGTAGATTTGAGGGAGGAAATTGGCAAAGGATCCGGACCACATTTCAAATCAAGGCCTTGGAAGCTGCCTTTTCTTCAGAATAAAAGCACTCTAAGGAGCTGTTTAAAAAATGTAAATAATGTCACAAGTAGAGTAGTTTTGTCATGAAAGAGTTCTACTGTACATCTCTAAGAATAGATCACCATCACTTTCCTTACTGAAAGGAGATCCAGGATGAAGACAGGAGCAAAAAGAGGAAATACCCCAGCCAATTAGGTGGAAAATAAAGAAATATCAGTGTGAGATTAGATAGATATAAATAGATAGATGAGGGGGAGAGAGAGAGAGAGATGATGGATAGATTCTTTTTATGCCAAAAGTCCCAACATGTTTAGAGAGAATACCTGTCTGTCGGGGGAATAGACAGCTTTCAAGAGAGTTGGAGCGCATTTCCTTATTTTCAGCCCAGGTGGAAGAGACAGACTTCCTAAATGTAGTTGAACAAAAGGAATGGCTGGAGCCACATGCCTAGATTTCGCAGGAACATGTGTCGATGTGCTCTGGAAATGGTTGGGATGTCCTGGTGCCAAGCAAAGAGGCTCTGCGGATTTGCATAACAAAACACCCAGAAGCACAGCATCCAACAAGCTAGTCTAGCATCTCCCCCCACCCCCATCTTGGCACCGAGGTGGGTGGCTGTTTAGTAGGCTCACTTTGCCAGGAATTTGGAGGATCGTGTACGTGGCGTGTGGAGGCGTTGGTGGTCCTGGTCGATTCGGTGGGCAGCCAACAATGTTAGGACCAGTTTCCTGGCCAGCAGGAGGAACGGGAAGAGCAACCGCAGCAGAGGCAACTGGCACGGCAGCAATGGACCAAGCGGTGGGAAGGGGCTGGTAGTGCTGTCGATGTCTCTGTGGGCGGCAGCTGAGTGGGACTGAGTCACGTGGTGGCCCCTCCACTGCAGAGGCTCCTCAGGGAGTGGATCAGCTGCCTTTGCTCCAGCTGATGGGCAGCATGGAACGGACTCCAGAGGACGTGGCAGTGTGGCAGAGTGAGTGGCGACAGACTAGCCGCTTAGCTCCTGCCCTCCATCTTGGGCCAGCTGCCACAGAGAATATAAAGACCGGCTGGGCCGGCACAGGCTGAGGAAGGGGCGGTGGCTGCCGGGTCCTGGGTGGAGTGGAGGGCTCAGGTAGCAGGCGGTTTGCGGCAGCGGGGGCAGGAACAAGGCGGTGGACCGGTGGGGGAAGCTGCCTTGTGTCTTGCAGCAGCCCCTCAAGTGGCCACATGGTAAAGCAGCCATTTTGGTGGATTCCTTTGCCAGTCTGGGAGGACTGGGACTGAAGTGGCTGGCCCCCGCATTAAGGACATTTGTATGGACCAGGAGCTTTTATATGGTTTGGTAGGTGGAGTGGGGGCTGGGCGTGGCTGGGGCTTTCTTGCTCCCTTCGTGTGAGAGATGGGGGGTGGGCTGTGGGTGTTGCGGCCCAGTCCCTTTGGGGGCGTGTGGCTCCTCTGGTGCCTGGGTGAGAGCAGGGGGACAGCGAGGCAGGGGGGTGAAAGAAGAACATCTGGTTTTGGGTGCTGGAGAGTTGGGTGAAAGAAGGGTTGGGTAAGATGTTGGATGGAAGGCCTGCTCGGGTGGAGGCACTGAGCGCGTTACAGAAGCACCGGCACCTGAGCAGAGCTTGTTTCCTGGTTGGTTAAGGCCTCCCGCGAAGTGGCATGTGGCTGGGTCCGAGCGGTGGTTAAGGCCTCTTTGGGGTGGGGGGGTGGTACCGCCTGACTCAAAGGAGGTGATGGTATGCCCCCTTCTCAAGAGGCCATCCTTGGACCCAGCTGTGTTAGACAACTTTAGCCCAGCCTCCAACCTTCCCTTTTTGGGAAAGGTTGTTGAGAGGGCGGTCGGCATGCAGCTTCAGAGGGCCCTGGATGAAGTGGGTTATCTGGACCCTTTTCAGTCTGGGTTCAGGCCGGGGCATAGCACTGAGACGGCACTGGCCACGCTTTCAGTGCCATCGACCACGCTATCCTTCTGGACTGGCTCCAGGGAGTCGGAGCCAGTCTGCGGTGGTTCTCCTCCTTTCTCCATGGCGGGTTCCAGTTGGTATTGGTGGGCAAGGAGAGGTCGATCCCTAGGCCCCTGTGGTGTGGGGTGCCTCAGGGAGCAGTCTCTCCCCTCTCCTCTTTCACATCTACCTGAAACCACTGGGTGAGGTCATCCAACAGCATGGGATGCCATATCGTCAGTATGCTGATGATACCCAGCTGTACCTCTCTACCCCTGGCCGGGCAGGTGATGCTGTTGGGGTGCTATCCAAGTGCCTGGAGGCTGAAAGATTTGGATGGGGAGGAACTGACTTCAGCTCAACCCTAGCAAGATGGAGGGGCTCCGGGTTTTTGGCCCCCTGGGTCTGGGGACTTGTCATCTTTGACTTTGGACAGGATTACATTCCCCCAGACTGAGCTGGTGCGCATTTTGGGGCTCTTCATGGACTCACAGCTCCTGCCTGATAAGCAGGTGGCAGCCATGGCCAGCGGGGCATTTGCACTGATCCATCTTGTGTGCCCAATGTACCCTTTCCTGGACCAGGAGGTCTTGCTTACAGTCACTCACGCCTTAATCACTTCCTGTTTGGATTACTGTAATGTGCTTTACATGGGGCTGCCCTTGAAGATCACTCGGAAGTTACAACTGGTCCAGAATGCAGCGGCGCACACAGTATTGGGTGTTCATAGGTTCGCCCATATTACACCTCTATTGCGTAAGCTGCATTGGCTCCCAGTTTCCTCCTGGGTGCAATTCAAGGTGCTGGTTATCACCTTTAAAGCCCTACATGGCATGGGACCTGGTTATTTGCAGGACCACCTCTCCCTAAGCATATCTGCCTATCCCACTAGACTGGATAAGGCAGGCACACTCCAGATTCCTTCCCTGAAATCCTGACACCTGGTGGGACCTCGGAAGTGTCCCTTTCCCAAGGCTGCCCCTACCTTGCAGTGATTCAGCAGCCGCCCCCCTCCCCGCTTTTAACCTTTCGGGAGGCCATCAAGACCCGGCTTTTCACCAAGGCGCTGGATAGGCTAGGCTAGGCTAGGCTAGGCTAGGCTAGGCTAGGCTAGGCTAGGCTAGGCAGAATGGAATGAGGGTAATTGGAGCTTGCTGCGGGGCATCCTAAGGGGACGATTAAGGCGCAAGGTTTTTGTTTGATTGTTTTACTGTTTTATTGTTTTATGGTTATGTTTTATAGTTACTGGTTTTACTGCTGTTGTGAGCTGCTCAGAGTTGTTTAAAAAGGGTGGCCATACAAATCTTTTAAATCAATCAGTCAATAAATCTACACAATTTTAGCAACAAGGCTACTTCTGAGGTACCCCATCTGTGAGGAGTTTTGGAAGACTCATGTTCTACGGATCAGGGAATGCATGAGTTGGAAGGGGCCTTACTGGCTTTGCAACAGGAGCAGCACATGAACTTCATCACTACAATGCAAATAAAATATATTTAGTTCAATCCCAGTCATTCCAGGATTGAAGGAATGGATGAAATGGATGTTATTTACATAAAAACAAATATTTACATTTGAAAAATGACCTATTCATGCAAATCAATGCAAGTTTCTTTAAGGAATGTGAGATTTAATCTCAAAATGAGGTTAATACAACACAATTTTTTATTTTGCTTGTCCTATAATTGCTACATTTTGGGCTGAAATCCACAAGAATATTAATTTAATATGAGTTTATATTGTTCATTACATGTCAGATGCATATGTTCCTCTTGGCTATACCTCCAGTATTTTGAAATATTCAAGACATCAAGAACTTTTCATGCATGGGGGAACAATCAGTAAAATTTAGTGCTGGAAGGATAAATCTATATCAGATTCACAGTAATGGATATATTATTTCTCAATATTTATATCAGAGTCTTTGTTTCTGCCAGACAAAGAAGAGGGCATTTTGAGGTGGCTTTATTTGTGAACTTATTTTTTTTCTTTGCATCCCTTAATTTTAATCTTTAGTTATATTGTTGTGGTTTTTCTTTTCTCTTTTGTTAATTTTTTTTTTTAAAGGCAAGGAAGGTGAAACAATATGACTGAGAGCTTTACAACAAAACTCTCTGTTCTTGTTCAGTAAATCGCTTATGTTTGATTAAAAAATAATACAGCGCAGTTGGAAAGATAATAATCAGGGGTTTCCACAGGGAGGATGTCAAAAAAGTCAGGATGGCAGCCAGAACCATATGATTGAGACCCCACCCCTGTTTTACATATGCCATGACACAAAAAAGGGGGCTGTGCTTTGACTGCATAGGTGTGGCTCACATCTTGACTCTTCAGCCCCCCTCCCCACCTCAGACAGCCCTGGTATAGGAATATCTGCCCCCTCAATGGCTAATAGATGCAGCGAAATGAGCTTCTGGCCCCTAAAAGAATAAAATAATTCTGGCCCCTAAAAGAATAAAATAATTCACTTCAGACCAAGATGACTGACTAAAGAAACTGAGACAGGTAGAAAGAGAAGTGCCTTACAATGCAAAAATTCAGGGTGTTGAGATAAGAGGAAGAAGTGAGGGATAGGAAAAAGAATCTTGCAAATAGAGAGTTTCAACAGGAAGAACTGCCAGACTGGTTGAAAAATCTCTCCCAGCCCCTCAAATCTATTAACATGTGGGAATGTTACATGTCGTCATAGCAGCATTTAGACACTGGTCGTGGCAAGACTATTGAAACCCCAGGAGAACTACTCTGAGATTGCTTTCTCCATTAAAAGAAATAGTAATCTATCCTGAATCTCCACTACAACTTACTGCCAGCCCTATGAGGTAGACTGGATCGAGAAACCAACCCTACAGGAAGACTAGAACTATACTTTATTGAGACAGAACCTTACAAGTCTTATATCCCATTGAGACAGGGAAGAGCCAGCTCGAGTCTCTTCCTAATATTCTCTCCTTTCCTGTAATGCTTCTGCCCTTGTTGTTCCTGTTAGAGTTTCTGAATATTCCCCTCAAGGCCATCTCCATGGCTCTCTTCACATACAAACACCTGAGAATAGATCCCGGGAAAGAGGACATAGATGAGAGAAAGAGTTAGAATTGCTATTTTTGCTGCACTGAACATTCTGTCCAGTTTGACATCTACCATCCATGCAAGACAGTTAATGCCACATGATTGAGGTTGGGAGACCATACAAAGTTGCGTGGTTGGTGATCTCTCTAACAAGGAAGGGATGATGGAGAAGAAGGTGGGAAGAAAAAAACCCTCATGCTATTAGGAACAGACAGAAGTTTTTGAAAGAAAGAAAAAAGAAAGAAACATACCCAGAAGCCACTGACAAGAGAAGGTGAGCTGCCCTCCTTCTGGCCCCAAATTCTTTGTAGAACACTTTTAATCCTTGCAAATAAGGGGAAAAGCCCTGGCCCTTTTGCCATAAAGAACCCTGGGAAGATAGTTGTTCACTACCATAAAATGTGATGAAAGCCCAGAGCTTGGATGCTATTAAAGGAAGTCAGATAGATTTATTGTGTATAACTTATTCAGGGCCCAGCACAATAGCTACATGGAATCTCTGCATTCAGTTGCAGAGGGCCAGAAGATGACTGTCATCTTCTGGGCTTTCAGTGGGCTTCCAAGAATCTTCAGCTTCACTGTTAATAAACATTCAGAAGGAAAAAACTTGGACTAATTCAGAAGGGAACTTCTTATTCTTCACATAACAGGTGACTCAGAATGCAAATATTATTTTTTTCACTTTCACCACAATTTAGAAAAGAGATGGCTCTCTTGGTAGAGAGGTGTAGTTGGACTACAATTCCCATTAGACTTATCCAAGCCAAGGAATGCAGGGAGTTGCAATCCAGCTGCAGGTTGTTCAGCCCTGTGGACTTCCCTCCATAATGATCTGAGACCATGATGTAATTCAAGAGAGGGTCCAGATCCACTGTTCTTTCCTCAGATCTGACAGTCATACTCACAGGAGGTAAAGAGCCAGGCTCTTAAACTGTCCATGCAGGAGCGTGTCTATGCCCACACCAAGGAGCACTGAAATGCAAAAGAAATAGAAGAAGTAAGAAGAGCTTGTGAAGCACGTCATCTTAACAATGGAGAGGTATCATCCATGGTTTCCATGGAGAGTGAGGGAAGTCACATGTGCCATGACATAATTGTGCAAATAACACAAATTACATAATTTGGATCATTTCTATCATATGTCATGGCACACATAACATCACTGTATCTCACACCAGACTTTGATGCATGTCACATTTCAGCTGTAGCAACATTAGCCTTTTCCCTAGCCATTAAACTCCCTTGAGAAGAATTTCCAAAGAAAGGAGCTTTAGTGTGATGTAACATTCTTATAAGGATGGAAGTAGCTGTATGTAGAACAGAGGTGTCATCTTCAGAGATATCTTTTCTTCTTGGAACACTTATTCAAGATTTATGCTGGTCTATGAATGTAATAAAGATTTGATTGATTGATTGATTGATTGATTGATTGATCGATTGATATTTTTCAGATTGACAGAGAAAATTTGTTCACTTGTTAGATAATTTGGATCCAGGGTAAGCAATTTTTTGCAACCGTTGGAGGCCTCCTCCTCCTCATTTATTATTATTGATTATTATTTCTGATGATGATTATGTTACTACTATTATTAGCCTCTGACAGATGGTGGGGACATGGGTGATAATGCAGTGTTGGCACTGGAATTGGGGGGGGGAGACTAAATTTTCACCCTTTTTTCTTTTTGAAGGTGGTTCTTGGGCAGGTTGACACAAAACAGATGAACTGTGCCTAGCAGAAGCAGAATTTATTTCATTCCTGTTTAAAAACAACAAAAAAAAATGTATTGCTGAAAATCTGTAAAAGGTAAATTGAGGAGCAGGTGGTTTACAGCCTGCCCAGTTCTGACAGATACTTGCCAAATTTGCAGATGACAGAAAACTGAAAGGAATGCACAGTGCCATAGCAAACCAATTCGAGTTTCAAAAGATTAGAATACTGGGCTCAAGTTGATCAAAGTCATATGAGAGTCATATGACTGTATAGTATAAACATTAAACATATTAATTAAATGAAAATCAATAATCATTCCTGCCCATCAAGTGTATGACTTTGCATGGTGGCATTACATGTGAAATTGGACAGTTGTCTTAATGAATGAGCAAGAATGATGTAGATGCTAAGATGACTAATGGAAACTCTGATTACATTAATCAAGGCATTTGGTCCTCATCATGGGAAGAAATGCTTCCACTATATTCTGCATTCTGTGGCCACATCTGGAATAGAGATTCCACTTTCAGATCACCAACCAATTGCTCCAGAGTGGCAATTAGATCCAATAGCTATGAGTTGGTTCCCATGGAGGCCATGAAATCGTGAGCCATTCTGCTTCCCAGAAGATGGACCCTGAAATCCCCCAGTACCATCCATCTGGGAGAATCCATAATCAGCTGCATCAGCAGGTCAAGAAGCTCAAGGGCAGATGCTGCTGGCAGCAGGATCCACAGTACACCAGCAGCATCCCCAACTTGTCCTTGGATCTGGCTTCGCATAGATGGACTCACATAAAGAGCAGGACATCTGGTCATCACCAACTCTCTCAGAAGATCATTGCCACTCCACCTAAGAGCCTGAGGCCAAGACAAATACTTTGCCAGAACAATGTCGCTCTATATCAAATGATGCTGCTAGTTAGCTGTGCAGAGGCCCAAGGGGGCACTACATGATGCAAGAGACTAGGTATGTAAGGACTGAGCCACCTTTTGGTGGTTAAAGTGAAATTCACAATATTGGGGTAGTTGAGAGCTGCAAAATGGATGGAGCCACATCACATGTAGGTGGGTGTGTTTCAGAAGGAGTTTTTCTTGACATTCAGAGTATACACTGCCATTTTTAGGTGTTTCCCTATCTTCATATAGTGGAAATTGCCCTCATCTTGCAGTAGTACCCTCAAGTACCCTTGAGAGAAGTTGCAATCACTTCCACAAAGGGATTACAGGGCCACCTGCAGCTTTTAAGCCACAGATTGCCCAGCCTAACATGGACTGGAATCCGTCAGGCTGTACCCATGTAATTCCCCCTCCTTTTTCCAATCAAATTTCAGTCACCTAAAACATACTGCCATGTCTCATGCTCTGCACTCAGCTTCTTATCTATGGGTCTATGAGAACAAATGAAAGAGAACCAAGAAATCGCAGCCAAGGATTAGAGACTGTAATCAGTGTTGCCTGGATAGACTTGGCTTAGAAGGAAAGCATTAGATTTAGACTGGGATTCCTGGGGCATTCCACCTGCTCCTTGCTCCTTTAAAGCAGTGTTGCTCAACCTTGGTGGCTTTAAGATGTGTGGGCTTCAACTCCCAGAATTCTGGGAGTTGAAGCCCACACATCTTAAAGCCACCAAGGTTGAGCAATACTGCTAAAGTGTTGGTCCCCCTCAGAAAACTGATCTCAACTAGCTGAGGAATAAAACAACTCAGTCACAGGCTTACAAATCTTTTCCTGCCATTATTTATACCTAGTTACAGAAGGAGCCTTCAGTGCTGGCCTAGCAGAGATCACATGAGTGTGTCAGTGAGAAACCAGAACATTTCAATAACTCAGCAAGTCCAAGAAGGATCAGATTTTACAACAAACCTCATTATACAGCAACATTCTTCTTCACTCAACACCTGCAAATATGCAATGAATTAATCCATCAGAACTGTAAGTCAGGTCCTTGACCCTCCATTTGCATTTCTTTTTGCACTTTTGGTGTTCACAGTTCATGGACATTCTCATAAAAAAAAAACTGTCATAGAGGGTACACAAATCACCAATTTACAAGAAGACAAATGAGTGAGGTCACTCCCTGCCATTCTCCCAAGATCCCTCAGCCAGATGTTCTCAACTACCTCAATTTCTTCTGTCTCTTTTCTGAGCAGATGGGCACAATTCCAAACAATGCATTCGAGTTAAGCCACAGGTCATTTCTAGTTTCTGAAAATGCCTCTAGAGTCTATGTGGGACCAAGAGGGACTCTTGGAAATAAAATACATCATTCTGGACTGATTGTTTGCTCTGCTGCAGGCCAGATTCCATTTATTTTTGTTTCAATTAAAATAATTGAAAAATAAGTAAAGTAAAATAAAATAGAGTGGGCTATTGAGCCTGATGGACACCAAGCAAGTCTCACTGGGCACACCATCCTCTATGGATGCCACCTGGGACACCCAGGTTGTATGTGTAACCAACACATTTAATGGCCACCTAAATTGGGATCTGAGCTTTCAATCTGTCTCCTTAACTTTTTCTTCTAGTAATTCTTCATGACTAAAGATACAGTTCCATATACTTTTAGACTCAATGACATTTCTTTATTTTCCTTTACTTATTAATGAAGGGTATTTTTTCACCCTTCATTTTTGAGTGTGAAAGACAGAAGAGTTTAATCAAGTAACTCAGGGAATCCCATCCAACGTAGAGCAACACAAATAAGGGACATGACACTGTTCTCAAATTACAGCTGAAATGTTTTTTTAAGTCTTCTCGGGGCCTCTTTAATCATTTTTCAGTACTAGCCTCCACACATTTTTGAAATTACAAACTGTTAGTGAAATGTAATTAAGACCTTCACAAAGAGCATTCATAAAATAAGTGAATCATAAAATCTAAAATTGGAAGAGACCTTTCAATCTGTCAAGTCCAACCCCCTAATTAGTGCAGGAATCCGAATCAAAACATCTCCAAACGATGACTGTCTAATCTCTGCTTGAACACGTGCTATAAAGGGGGGCCCATCACCTCTCTGGCCAATGGGTTCCAGCGCCAAATTACTCTTCTTGTTAGGAAGTTTATTCCTAACATTCAGTGAGAACCTGCTTTCCCATTAATTAATCTGAATTATGTCCCTTATTTTGAATTTTGCACTCTGGGTTCTCAATAACAGATCTTGATTTTCTTCTGTGTGGGGACTTTCAGGTATTTGAAATGTGCTATTATATTCCCCTTCAGCCATTGTTTCTTAAGGCTAAATGTTAGGGCTGTGCATGCTTCAAAAATTATTCAGAAGAGGTTGGCTATAGCACTTCTATAAAATGAGTAGACTCACTGAAGCAGCTGTGTCTTTTTTCCAGCTCACCCAGAAGCCTGCAAAAAGACATGGCTGTTTAAAGAGCTGCCCCTGTGTGTTCCAAAGCACCCCTTCCACTTCATTTCAGACCTATGCAAAGTCTTAATAAAGATATGCTATTCCTTCAGCCTTTCCGCATAAGACTTACTGACATAAGACTTACTTAATGATATAGGAATATAGAGGATTTTTATTCTAATACAGGTAGTCCTGGTTTAGCAACCACAATTGGAACCGGCAACTCAGTCATTAAGCGAAGCGGTCACTAAGTGAAACCATGACTGTGCTTATGATCTTTCTTCATCTTTTCTTTGCTTTACAGACCTACAAAGGTTGTAAATGCGAAGATTGGTCATAAAGGTCCTTTTTCATCCCCATTTTAATTGCAACCAGCCACTAAATGAGGCAGTCACT